CTGCGGTTCATGCCATGGTCTGTTCTTGTGAAAGTATTTCAAAAACACATTAACGCAATTATCAAAGTACTGAGTACTACGAGCATTATCCAGCCCGCTAAACGTATCACGATAGAGCCTGAATCTTCCCTCAAACTGCCAGCGCAATTAGTACTCCCTCACTGACTCCAGAGCCATACTAACAAGGAGAAAAAGCAGTGAGAGTCTAGCAAGAAGTGTAGATACAATCTAGCTAAACATAATGACAAGTGAAATAAAAAGTTCGGATACAATATGACAGGGTCTTCTACTTGCAAAGCAACCAATGAATAGCACGCCGATAACTGCAAAGATACACCGGATGTTGAGGTAAAGAACGAAGTGACAGTCTCACATGTGTGCATTAAAACAAGATCACGAGAAGAAGTTCAATGAAATCTACAACAAAGCGTTTATGTTAAGGATGAAGAAGTTATAGCGCTGTTTAACCCAGATGCTAAAGTTCCGCCATATCGCGCCGTGTAGCCTACGCTTTTGGAATGAAAATACATAAACGAAAACATTGACTTAATCGAAAACATTGACTTAATCTTGGGCAATGGTAATTTTTTCACTTGCGAAGAAGCCATTGAGAATGCACATATAGTGTTGACGGATAAGAGATATGTCGAAACCCATCTGATTGTAACTGATAAGTCTCAGAAATACGATTTAGATATAGGTATGAGTGATTTTTTATATAGCTTAGGGATGACTATGACGGGCCTACTTAGCAGGTTAGATTTCACCGACTCCCGAGAGTTGATTAATTTTCTTCACATACTCCTGGGAGTTGATTAAGTTAGAGCATCGTATGATCAGCGTGAGATTGAGTGTTAAATTAAATTGTTGTGCAGAAGGTTTCCCATACTGACCGTATGAGTTGTTACCCTGGCCAGCCCAAGCGGTGGAACACCTGTACAAAACCCTCAGGTTGAAAACCAAAGGCGAAGTCTGAAATAAAGACACACATTTGCACTTAATATAAAGTCTGCCACCCTACACTCTAACAGGAAATGTAGAGGAAGGGTGCCAACATCATAGCACATCTTGCTTTACGTTATCTGTTGACTTAAGCCATTAAAAGTAGACCAGAATTGTATGCAAACCTATGTCGTTGTTCGGTAAAATATTTTATTTCGTTCTGTTGTTGACTTCATCATTAAATGACAATAGTCTGTACTAGTAGTCAAAACCCATGGACTTGCTATACCAATGTCTATTGCGCCTTCCTCGGTTCGCAATTAATCTCTTCAAATACCTGATTTAGAAACTGGAAAAGGTATTTATAGTTAAAACCATAAAACCCCTTCATTTGGTTACCTTAGTTTATGCACTTCTTAAAAGCACACTTCTATACTTTAATCCGGTATATTGCATAGCCGTCATCCAGCTTTGAAAATCATAGCAGGCTGGTTGCTCACTCGAGCTTAGTTTGAATTAAAAAAACGAGAAATGAAAATGGGTCAAAACATTTAATAGCATAGCATTTAGTTACCATTTTTCAGACGGAGAACTTAATCACCCTGTGAGTTTTGGGTTTCGATCCATTAGGTCCGTGGTGGTCGACTTATAAAATAGCAAAGGATTTTATATACATAAACACTGTCAAATCCCACTTGGTTATCTGAGTTTTATATATACGTTTTAAGTGTGAGTCTATATACATATACTCCAATGTGAAAGATTGTGGTATCCGAAATTAGAGGCTAATTAACGGTACAATACTTTAATAAGAATGTAATGAAGATGGTCATGATAGATGTTTAGATCTGAACCCAGGTAAGAATTTGCCGGTATATTGCATAGCCCTCGTCTAGCCTTGAGGTTCATTATACGCTAGTTGCTCACTCGAGCTTAGTTTGAATTAAAAAAGGAGAAAGGAAAAAGGGGCAAAACAATAAATAGCACAAAATTTTAGCTAGGTATTGCTCTGGCGAAGGACTCGAGGATTTGTGAGTTTTGGGTTTAGGTCCTGTAGCTTCCTGGTGGGCGACTTGCAGATTGCCTAAGGGAACTACAAATTTAAATGCCGCTTTGATGATTTAGCCTATGTACTCCTAAACGATACATTCATATACATAGAAGATAGTGTGAATGACCGGTAGATTACACAGCCACCAAGCAACCTTGATGTTCCTAGTAGCTGAGTTCGATCCAAACCACAAGCATTTAGCTTATATTTCTCAGGCGGAAATCTTAGGTAGTCACGGTTACCTTGTGAATTAGGTACAGTATATCCTTGGGTGGTTGACTTGTGAAATGTCAAAGGTGTTGATGAAAAACCTTTTGCAAAACATTTGATTTACCTAGTTTGTGTACTTCTTAAAAGTACATTTATATGCATGAAATCAAAGGTGGATGCCCGGCATAATAGACAACCCACACCAACCTAGCTTTGAGGTTCGTAGCAGGTTATTTCCTCATTCGAGTTGGGTTTAAACCAAAAAGGAGAAAAAAGAAGGAAAAGGGGTCAAAACAATAAATAGCACAACATTAAAACTTATTTCTCAGGCAGAAAACTTCAGCCTCTCGGTTGCCCTGTGAGTTTTGGGCTGAGACTAAGTAAGTGTGAGGTGGTCGACATGTAAAAAGACAAAAAGTATTTAGGCTCATAGCAGGCTAGTTGCTCACTCGAGCTGAGTTTGAACCAAAAAGCGAGAAGGGAAAAGGTCGGCACATTAAGTAGCATAAGATTCCGTTGATGTTTCTCAGGTGGAGAACTTCAGTATTGTTCGGTTACCCTGTGAGGTTTGAACTTAGGTCTAGTAGATCGGTGGTGATCGACTGGATGCTACTTGCGCTTGAAGAATGCGTTGTAAAGCTTGAAGTAATCGCTATTGGCGGGTATATTTGAAATTCAATGCCTTCAGACAAAGGTAACATGCTATCATTTCATTTATGATTTATGTAGGCATCTACACCACTTTCTAATGGAGGCTTTCAAAAAGGCTTGGTTGTCAAAAGCATCTGCTAGTTTAGCAATAGTACCGCCTATAAACGTGTACGATAGTATGTATGTCCTTCTTTATTTGTCTTCCATGGATTGTTTTTTTACTTCGTAAATCCCAATTTTAGTGTCAGATACAGAAAATATAAATGATCCAATCCACCTTGATGTTAAGAAAGTGGCATCGGAAATACATTGTCGAATTTTAACTGTCTCCGAATTGATATTATGTATTGATACGAGTCTCTCGAAGGCAAGAATATACGATGCTATAAATTCTTTGTACCTTCTCTATCCACGGCAAACTCATGGGTTCGTCTGACTTGTATCACACTATATCTGCCATGAAATAGTAAGCGGTGAATGTTTCCCAAACCGGATCAGCCCACTTGTTCATTTGTGTTTGTTCTCATTTAAGATGGTACGGCCAATCATCTGCACAATTCAATAATGCAATACGTGTGAAGTAGTAAGTCTCCCATGACGTGCATTCGTGATTTGTACTAGATATTTCTCTTGTGGCACACTCCTGATACAAGTAAAACTAATGATTCCATTACGTCGTCACAGAACTCGCTACCGTTGTCAGAGCATATGATACCTGGCCACCCGTGGTCAGTAAATACTTGGCAACTTAACTTTGCGACGGTCTGAGTACTATTGTATTTTAAAGAATTGATTAGATCATAGTAAAAGTTTGTATCGTGGTTGAAGGCGCTAGCGAGGTTGATAATACACTTTATATAGTTGCCGGATATGCCATACGAAGACACCTAGTTGTTTTCAGAGTCCGAATCAACATTTGAGAGGTGGTCACTCGTCGCTTTATATAGGTGTTGTTGAGCGTTCAATCGGTTTCATCAAAACAGCAGGATCTATTTTTCTTTTCTTGAAGTTGGTTTTTGAATCGGTACTGGTTGTCGCTATTGAGCCGGATATGAAAGTCTAGGATTATCTCAAAACGTTGTAACCTGCCACTATCCAGATAGAGAAGATCATGTAATTAAATTCGACAATCATGAACTAGTTCTGGCACTGAGGTGACATTCACCACTAAATTTGATCGCAATCGCGGTCAAAATAAACACTGTACGTGTACGAGCGGACTCGATTTCTAAATATCCCCTTACAATGGTTCTCTCTGAGAATCTTTTCTTGAGTTCGTCTCGTTAGATCGAATAGAATCCATAATCATGCATAGTTTGATGGCGTCAACCTATCGCACCACATTATTTGTTGAGGTAGTCGACAATGGCTATGAAATATGCAATAAAAGAGGAAAATACAATCATTGTCTGATGTTGACAGACCTGTCTTAACGTCGATGTGAATGACAAATTCGACGGCAACTATTATATCACGGTTTTGGGTTTGTTAGTAATAGGTTGGCGATCCATCAATCCAATGATATGAAGAACGATAGCTCTTGAATATTTAATATAACTGAACGTCAGTTCGGATTGAAAGAAGTTCTGCGGTTGGTTATATCGGGTGTTATATGTTTTGAAGTCACGCGATGCAGACATACAGATTAATAATAGATGATTCTGAGATATTCTGCTTATTGCAAACCGAGAGCTACTTTACAATTGCTATTTACCGGCAGTGCACTTCAAGGTTCAATTATCTAGAATTAACTATTAAAAATATTGGGTTCATCGGAATCTGGGGTTCATACTCACTCCAAATAATTAAGTGACACAGTTGTGCTTTTGTGTCAAATTCTTAGATCGTACAAGCGAAACTGATTGCCACCCCAGCATAACATCAGACAAACTGACCTGACTCACACAATTCACAGAGACGAGCTTCTTTTGAATTCATTTAGGAGTTGTTAGAAAATATCGCTCACTAGTTGTTGTTCCTTAGCTCTAACGAGTGTTAGTACTGGCATTTCAAATGCGCCAGCGTAATTTGATGGGCCTCTATCTGGCTCCGAAATAATATTTTACGGCTCGTTCGAGAGTCAGCTGCGCATATTAAATGACAAATGTAGTATCATAGTGCTGTTGTACTAGCGAAAGTTGAAGTTGTCAAACGTGCTGGTTCTAGTTCATGAGAGCCAGCGTGTGTAGTTGATGTTTACTTTTGTTTACTTTACTGTATACAGATATGCTGCGATGACCAAAAGTTATGCCGCCGAGGCTCGCAATCCACAGAACCGGAGCGATCGAGCTTACTTAGATTCCAGCATATGCACTTGTGTAATAGTCTATATCGCTTTTGATTGATATGATGTGCAGGAAGTCTTCTTGCTGTTTGTTCTATTATATTCGAACTTCTCCACATGCGGACTAGTTTAAACCCAGTACTCACGGTATCCCACAAGCGTCTACAAGGGCAAAAAGTATTAAGGCTCAAATTCACTTTTAGCCTCAAACTATCAGTAAGCTGAACATTGATGTTGGCTGCAACCGCATTAGCACAGTTTCGCGGCCTCCGCTTGAGCTTCTTTATCATCGGCGTTCCCAACCGGCATATTCTTCGCCTTCTCGAACCAAATCTGTCGATAATTAGATTGATGAGATATGTGTGTCCCGTAATTTTGTTCCTGCTTACTATACACAGATTGCACACTATTAAAATTGACGCGTGCGAATATAAGACGGATGTTCCAAACCCTAAACCCTAAAACTACTCAGGTCAGGTTTTGAATACACACTTGAGAATAAGGTGGCATTCAATGTCTGGAATAACCTATTGCGATTTTGTATATTAGAAAATGTCGCAACTTTGATTTCCAGCGAACCATGGTAGACAAGCTTACTATCATCAGCATTGCAAAGGCAGCATATATACTCGACTAGATGACCACTATAATGTTAAGCACACCGAACATGATTTGGTACAACAGGGGTATTTTGCTCAACAGTTCCTGTCGACAGTAAACACTCGTTGGAATGTCTGGTGACACAGTATCATCAATACACTTTCGTGATTTAAGATACGAATTGCACAACGAAGATATACACAAACCTATTCACTAGATCGAGCTGAAATAATGAGACATGCTAACGGGTAGCTGCACCATAGTGCAACTTTTTCATATTCTTCGCAACGAACTTGAATATAGCAGAATACAACTCATGATATAGAACATAAAACACATGTACACAAGGACAAGACACAAATCTCGGAATCGGTAGCTAGTACAAATCTTCCAGAGCATTGTCGGTTCTATAGCATATGGATTCAGAAATGTCTCATAGTTGTAAGGAACGAAAAAGCCTACTGCAATGTGCTCAAATAGGTATGTAAAGCAAGTAGCCGATACTGTACGCCCACATAGGAGCTGTATAGCACAGATTATATAGCGCGCAATATTGAAAACGCTGGTAATGTTACAAACTTCAGGGCGTACCTTGGCCTGAGCACTATCTCCGATTGCGGCGTAAGCCTTGCCGAGCATGAGAGCGTTTTTAAGATAAAAACCAGGTTCAGACGCCTCGGCCTGCGCAAAACAATCACGCGCTGCTTCGTACGTGGATTCCGGAGGCGACGCAAATATAGTGGCCGCGATTTTCCTCACGTACCTGTTTGGAGATGTGATAATAAAGGTTCGGATACATACATCTTGTAATCGTAGACAATCCCCTTCACACAAATGTTGGGAAAAATGGACTGTTTGTGGTTGAATCATTTCATATTGTATTCCTGAAAGTGACTGTTTCGGTCACAATCGATGGAAAATAAAAATAGCGGCATAGCATGCGTCATACGGATATATTGAAACGTACATAATTATAAGCAAACAATTGGGTTTTGTAAAAGCGCGAGCGATGTGAGGGTGCAACGTCCTTTTCATCAGCATAAGCTCAGAATAGGTACACACGTGATTATGCAGCCATTTTATAGGACATTTTGATTACAGTAATTGAATGCACAGACAAAAGCATGTGGACTGATGAGTAGTGTCGGTGGCGATTAGTCTACTTGCCAGACAAACAGTCTACCGACACGAGATCGCGGGCTATTGTTTACACACGCGCTAACTAAGAAATTCCGCATATCAACCAAGTTTTACCTACATAACTGCCAAGAGTACAATGAGATTCGGGTGTACAGATGCTCGTTATTCAGATACACAATGCCTGAAGACACTGTATATGGAGGTGGATTGATGTATTTATCTACACTGATTACGGCAAAAACACAATCGAGCACACACTCACCACAGACGGACGACGAATGAAAATCCGTATACACCTGAGTGTGATAGTTTTTGCTGCATTCGATTTCACATATGTGAAACAAGCTGACTATACAGGTAAGTAAGTGCTCACAGACACACAGTTTCATACCACGACATATCGGCGATAGTATAATGCCATAGTCCCAGCAGATGACTTGTAGTTGCATCGCCAGGGGAGAGCTCTAGAGCCTTTTCGAAGTGCTTTCTCACAGGGAACGCGTTCTCAATGGTGCTTTTGGTACCCTCGTAGTCACCGATTGAGCTGAGAGTGATAGCATACCATTTATGACACGCAAAGTTGGTGGGTGCCAACTCGAGGGCCTGTTTACGGTATTGTTTATGAAGATGTGTTTTTAGAGATGCTTTCCGCAACCGTGCGTGTAAAATTGCATGTTCGGATGCAGATATGTATGCGCGTTTTCTTGCCTGCTGTTTCTACCCATTCGAGTGTTCGTGTGCATACATCCCCGTATACGTACAAATATGCGTTTGTGCAAGTATGTATACGTGAATTGGTAGTGTATAAACCAATTTGTATATAGACAGGTGAATTTTTGATATACGGTATGATTGCTTCGTACTTCAAGGTGCAGCAAATACGTCTGTGCTTGTGTACAAGCATGCAGACCTAGAGTGATACCAGCTGACCATTCTAGATGTGCCTCTAGGTGATTGGTCGATACATCTAAACTAAACCATCAGACATAGCAACGGGGATTGGTTGTACCACCCAATATTCGAGAGGAGTGCGCAATTCAACCGCAGGCAATAGGGTGTGTTTGGTAAAAATGTCTGCACACAGTCCGCCTGGTGACGACAAGCATGTCTAGATATAAAACTACCAAGCTGTTAAAAACTACACGTAGAGCAGAGGATCATTGTTGGGTACCCAGCTGTCATGGTAGTCGCAGATACCAAATCTATCAACCCATTAATTGGGCTTAGTGATCGATAAGCTTGAACGGACCAAGTACAACCAGAGCGCAGACGTCGACCTCAATCGACGAACACGCACACCCATTGAGCAGTAGAACGCAACGTATCGGACCTGCACTCACACACCACTATAAGTATAGAGAACTAACATACATCAAATATACCAACACACACACCATTATAAGTATAGAGAACTAACACACATCAAATATACCAACACTCACACACCACTATAAGTATAGAAAACTAACACATATCAAATACACCAACACTCACACACCACTATAAGTATAGAGAACTAACACACATCAAATATACCAACACACACATACCACTATAAGTATAGAGAACTAACACACATCAAATATACTAACACTCACACACATCTAGAAGTATAGAGACCTAACACACAACAAATATACCAACACACACACACCACTATAAGTATAGAGAACTAACACACATAAAATATACTAACACACACACACCACTATAAGTATAGAGAACTAACACACATAAGATATACTAACACACACACACCCATGCCCTCAACCAAAACCTGGTCTTGTAGACGGACTTTGAGGGGCGTTTGACTTGTACTTGCACACAGGACCCACTATGACCCAGGAAGGCCAAACGAGCCAGAACTGCATTTTTAAATTTTTTAAATATGCAACACCACACACCCTTCATTCTCTTCGAATAAGGTGTGCCCACACACCTGTTTCGCAACCTCGTGTGCTTCGTAGACGTAGGCCTTCTTCTTCTCCTTGTCTGCAGTTACTGTGGCCATGTCGTGACACGCGCGCGCGTACCGCCAGAGTGCGTCCGCATCCGTTGGGTTGTTCTTTATGTACTCGACAAGGTATGCGTGAGTCTGTGTTGGTCCAGAGAGGAAGCAACAAATAAATAGGTTAGATCGATAGGCACTAACTTGGGAACTTAGTCGTATGTAGTAATAGAGGGCGTAAATTGCTAACTGTGTGCAGAAAACTTAATCTACTGTTGGCACATGTTTACATCACTACATTCCAAACGATAGTGTACCACGCATTGTCATATATACAAAAAACATGGTAATGGATGTTCATTTCCTTATATTTTATGTCAAAAAGAATACTAAGATAGAACCTGCAATGAAGACAAACAAACAAACAAACAAACATACAAACGAACAAACAATATATAGGTATATATATATATATATATATATATATATANACACAATATATATATATATANATACATATATATATATATATATATATATATATATATATATATATAAATAATATAATATATGCATATATAAGTGGGTGTATTTGAAGTTAGTGTATGAATTATTGTAACTAGAATCAGTAAATACTGCATCTCTGTCTGTGATGTTGTTTTTCTTGTACCTGTTGATTCACAATCATCTCCGTGATGTAGTGCTACCGTGTTTAGACAATATTCTGTTGCCACAAATAATTGAAATTAAATTGTACAGAAATTTCTTAGACTTGTTATCTGGGTGTAGTGGAATATTTTTGCTTACAACTCATTTTCATCGCGATTTGTAGTTGCGCAATCCTCAGACCCGTGCCCTGGGTGTGACGGTGTCTTTCTAAAACCTATCGAATTACTCATCCCGAATTCAGGTACAGTATCGTCTCAGACCGAATCTCGGGGTGAGTAATCGTGCATTTTTAGACCTAACGAAAACTCATCCCGGCTTACGTACAGAATCGGCTCAGACTGGATCTCTGGGTGTAATGGTGCCTTTCTTAGACCTACTAAACCACGTGCATGGCGAGACGGTCATGTGGGAACTTGCCAGCGACGAGAAGAAGCATGTGCTGTTCTCAAACAAGGATAAAGAACACAAAGAGGGGGATGAGGTGTTTAACAACTATGGCTACAAAACTGTGGAGGAGCTTTTCCTCAGTCATGGATTCTGCGGAACCGGTACAGGGCACAAGGTACCTAATTTTACTCACATACCGGTTCATCGAAACGCTCAATATCTGAGACTATCCTCAGTTTATGGACATGGTAACCTGGAGCGTGCAAATCGCCAGTCATCAGTTAGAATACTGCTGTGGCCCAAGTGTGCACCTATCTGTATAGGCACGTGAACTTCGGATGTTTCTACTAACTAACAAATCAACGCACTGACCCTATGTACTCGCAAGTTGGCACGAATAGAATCCATACGCCTACAAGTGATTCCAAAGTTACCTTCACCGTCAAATCTATAGCCCTACTGACAATAGGCTGCATGTTACGCCTGTCCAGGATGTGGTCGCTCTGCGCGTAGGATCTCCAGCCGTCAGCAAGGAGGTTGACGAGGCCAAAGTCGCTATATTACGTGACATGGAGGTGCCCGTTGCTGTGCGTCCGAATGGTAACTTAAGTGTGGGGCCCTTGTACTTGGTCACAGGCAGCGCGGAGGTATGTCATGGCGTGAGATGTTTTGATTGTGATAGATTTGAGCTGTGGTGTGTGTATATCATCGCATTTAGAACTGTTTCGCATACTATAGCCTGATCTAGTAAGAACGCTTATGAAATGAGCAGGTGTGGGCGGAATATAATAGGGGGTAACAGCGTGTGTATCGACGCTTAGTACGTATTTGACTACCACGATTACATGCCGGAGGATTTACGATCAATATCATCTCAAACAGATGCGCTTATCACACGGCATAAAGTTGCGCAGATGACCCTATAAGTCTCTGACCACATAGCAATTCATCCGAATAGGGGGTTTTTTTGTGCAAGGGTTCACCCATATTCATATACACGCTCTTGTTCGTAACTCTTATTGATGCGTATCAACCCTTTCACCTCATGTACAGGAGCCTATTCTTAACCAAGAATTGTTGTTATCCATGGCCGTGTGTGGCATGGCGCATATTCCTACCGATGAGGAGCCCATAGAAATCGGCATCGATGAATTGGACGTGTTGAAAGCACAGTTGGGACACAAGCTGGAAATACTGGGGGATCTCTCATGGATTCTTGAGACTTTAAATAGCAATGTTAAGGGCGAGAGTACGCCGCATACGCATCACACCAGGAAAGTACAAGCAGCTCTATATGTGAAGGGACAGGTGGATCTACTCAACGAGGCTTTGGGTGAGATAGTTAAATTTTTGCCCGTGCCAGATGGAGAAGAAAGTGAGGAGGAAGAGGAGCATGAAGAGGGGGTGTAGACAGTCCTCGCACGAGATCCCGCTCTGCGAGTCACGATATATATATAGAGATTGCGGTCTTCTCAGTGCTATAGGAGAACTTGTTCTAGTTTTAATTTTAGTGACTATCGCAGGAAATGCAGACCGATACCCTATGGTGCAAAAAGCTCTTTGCAAAGGTGCCCTTACTGATTGTCGGAGATGTACTACACCTGGTCTGCAACGCAAGTTGGCGCTTATAAGCGAAGGAGAATGTGACAAACAATTATTGTTGCATCGGTACGACGCAAAGTTGCAATGTGTACTGGAAGCGTCATGCAAATACAGGCAGTCGCCAATCATGATCCGCCACCGCTATAGAAGATATCTTGCTGCTGGTAGTAAAAGGGCTGGAGATATGGCAACATGGATATACGTCTCAATGTGCTCCTCGTATAGGAGACGGGAGAGAAAAGCTAACATTGTATGAGAATATTACCTGTGGTGCACTTGCATTATATAATGTATCCAAACTTGAACAAGCAAAGGAGGTGAAGTTTCAAAGCGAGAAAGTATACAGGACGGGATTCGGATAATAATTTAATTATTCAGTCATATATATAAATGTATTAAAATTATAGTCTAGAGGGGTTGAGACATAGTTACCCCATATTTAATCTGCCCGTATATTAGATTTACTAGTCATTTCTCGAACACACTATTCAATTGTATATACGGCACACTTCATCTTCACCGTTTTCTCACACGACTGGAGTTCGCAGACAATCAATGACGTTGAACGCATCAAGAGGAAGAGTTTGTAAATATATCTAGCCGACCTCGGACAATCTTGTTATGCCCGAAACACTTTTTCCATGAAATGCAATTCTTGTACCGCGGCACACTCCATTGTGCATCAGGGCCCATTAACATGGTCTTCGTTAAGTGCTTTTCTTTTCGCAGCAACAGGGTCAATGACCTGGACCTACGACTTAACTAGATTTTGCAGCACCTCCACCAGCATGTTCAAACTCGAGCGGTGTTGTGGTGGCGCCTCACTGTCGCTCGGTAAGCGATTGCCCTCCGGCGCATCGTGATCCTGCGCTTGTGATGTAACAGTAGCACGAGATTCTTCTCTACATAATCCTTGGTCATTCTTATTGTTAAACCTAGGTACCTCACTATCAGTCCGATATGGCGAATGCGAAGTTTGGACTGATGTCCTGTATTGTACGGGAGACTGTATTGTCACGTTTTGCTTTGTATGCTCCAAACAGTCTTCCCACTGATCTGTTAAATGTGGCGAGGTATAGCTCGACTTCTCCCTTCTACTGGTTTTTGTACCACGTCGTGCATTCTCTTGCGCACTCACACTCTTCGTGATGTTTCTACCTACAGTCGTACGTACATCGGATTCATTGTCCATAGACATTCGTTGCTGCCGCTGCTGTTGAAACTCATATCGGACACAAATTTCGTGTGCCATCTCCATATCTTCATCAAGATCTACACCACTATCTCTGTGTTTCTTCGAAGCTCTCCGCGAACGAGCCCACTTTATATCATCAATTGCCGGATATGAAGAACTCACAATTACATCTGATACTCTATCAGGCACACAAGCGGACTGCACTGACGCGTGTTGACTTCCACGAGCGCGTGCATCTGCCTTCGCCTGGGCATGTATCTGTGCTTGAGTGAGTGTCTGATTATACTGATTGTAGTTACTGTTGATATTCGCGGGCATCCTTAGATTGCTACCGTCTGGGCGTGCCGAATCCCCCGTGTAATCATTAGATGACGAAATAGTGCTGCGCCGTTGGCGCTGCCTTTGTGTAGGCGTATGAATGAGTGATGTACCTAGGCCATCGTATCTGATCAGTGAAGGCTTAGAATCAAAATGGTCAGCTCTTGTGTCAGCGTCATTCAACTCACGACATGCTGGAGGCACATATCGATGCAGTTCGGAATGTGGCTGTTCAGGAATAGAATGCTGCTCGGGTATATCTGACCACTGTCGAGATGATGGCATCAACATACTATCAACTGACATCCGTGTAGCCTCAGTTTTATACTTAGCAGGAGTATTTGCATAGTGTGTACCACCCTCATCAGAATCAACTACAGCTGAAGGATTGTCGCTTGACATGCGCAAAGCTCCCTTATCTAAACCAGTAGAGTGGCCTATCGATTCTACATGGCCCTTCTCCACTTCTACTGCATCAACGTCGCTAGTATGGATATAAGATCGTGCTTCCGAATAAAAATTGGACCCCTCCATCTCCGTATCCAAACCGTCAACATTCTCATCGTCATATAGCAAGTGTGCCCTTCTCGATGAAAGCGACGCGTCCACGTACATGGCAGAACGTGTCAGTGCTTGCCCATACATATGAGTGCACGAATCTACCCGGTCTACACGGGGATGAGCACCCGCGTATGGATGTGATATTGAGTACCTCTTACGTTTACTGAGAAGTGACGGTACCACCGCTGCACATTCATCAACTCGCGTATATGCACCATCATCATCTTTGCTTTCATCCTCATCAGTCTTAACATTCTCACTCTCACCAGCGCTGAAAACAACACCTGCATCACTCAACCGCTTCCTACCTGTGGCTGTCGCTGCTCTTGCGCGTACAGTGCTACTAGAGTGCGCAACAGCATCATGCGTCAGCATATGCCGACTTCTGGAGCGCACAGACGAATATCGGGCCTTGCACACCTCGCAAACATATGGCTTCTGCTTAGTATGTGAACGAATATGACGTGTCAGATTGCTACTCTGAGCAAATGCAGCTGTACAACCTTCTTCCTTGCAGACGTACGGCTTTTCCCCTGTATGTATACGCTTGTGAGTGGCTAAATTGGAAGGGTGGGCGAAGGATGCATCGCAGCCACGGTACTCGCATCGATATGGACGTTCTCCACTGTGGGTATACGAGTGTGTCTTTAGTGCAGAGTGATGAATAAATGCAGCCCTACATCCAGTGTACTCACAGCGATAGGGCTTGTCTTCCAGCTTTGATTCATGCATCCCTTTTCCAAATTGGAGTAAAGATTAAATTTATATTTTAAACTCTATTCAGTTCACAAACTACCATGCATATACAGGCCTCAAGCAGAATTTCTTAGGCTTGATACTTTCTGCAATGTGCGATAAAGTTTGTGTTACTGTATTTGTTTTATGTGTTTGCTGATTAGTGAGATTTGTGCTGTCTATTCCCCTTGGATTCTGTATTCTGAATACAGTCTTGATGTCCTGCTGTAAATGTTTCCGACTTGAAAATGCTTTTCAAATAAAAATATATTAATGTAAGACTGATATTCGACGTCAGACTAAATGAACAGCTGAACGATACACCACTCAAATATATATCAAAAATATTATAATTATTGATATATATTTGACTTAAAAAAAAAGGAAATACCGTGTAGTCCACTAGAGTGTGCGCGTCAAACAAAAATTCTCGTAGTGTTCACTGTAACCATTATTATCCGAGTCTTATAATTTTTCTAGAGGTACAAAATGTCAAAATGATCGTTTCTCCCAAATCTTGACGACTTGAACCAATGACGTACTCAAAAAATAAGAAAAGAGCACTGGTATAACTAAAGTTCTGAACAGACAGTTAAAAAACAACAAAAGAGTTTTGTGTTATAATATATCGTAAACCATCTTAAAATAGAACATGAGCGCTCCTATTGGTTTATATTAAAGTTTAAGGGGTAGCCGACGACAATTTAGTGAACAAATATCTGACAATACTAAATATCACCAGAATTTTCATGACTCTAAACTTGTTGTTCGGAGTAAATATATATTTATGACATGTATTCGCACGGAGTCACGGACGGTCGGACGCAAAAGAGCTGAAACAAGAAGTGCGTATTCATTTACATTGGATAAAAATAGAGTTTGGAGTACAGTCATCCTTCAGTCTGAACGATTTTGTTAGTAGTTAGTGAATTGAAACCAGGCAATTTTATCATGAACGTGACCTAAGCGAAGCGGCCAAGCCCAAGGTCCACTCGACAGAGGAGAGTGGCCATTGGCCAAGTCCCCAAGGTCCCACATTCCCACAAGAAATATGTTAGATTTTTTTCACACCCCGTCCATGACGTGTTTATTTCACCGGACCAACGGCTACAGTCCACAGTCCACAGTCCACACTCCCACATCTACAGCGGTACAGCCCCTGGCCCCTTATATATATAT